ATTCATTCTGCTGTATTCCTGTTGTGTGATGTTCAGAATAAACCAGCTTTTGGATGAAACCAGTATTGGTGAATTCAGCTATCTGAGGAGGGTTGTCTGCAGTGACAGTACCTGCTTATACAGGCCAGGCACAGAGGTTCCACAAGGGTTAGATCACTATCACAACAATCCGAGTCAGAATACTCAGTATTTGAGGGCTCGCAGGTCCCTTTAGTCATTTGTAGTGTGCATTGAGAGCATATTACCTAGTGAAATGTGCTGGTTTACATGCCGCCCAGTGTGCGGGCACTGGCCCTTTATCGCTAAACTGAATATTGGATTAGACTTGTGACATCTTGTCTGTGAAGTAGTGGCTCTAGTCATGTGTGCTGATGCTCTTGTGTCAAGTGTCAAGTGTGTCGGCAGTGCCGTTCTTGCTGACAGCGCCGTTATTGCTCCGCATATGTCTAGTGTCTTATGTCTTGCAGTTTGTCAGTCATCATTAATCACACTAACTCCATTTACCTATAGTACGTATCTGGTAGTCGTCTCTTGCGCAGATAAATGAAAAGGGGAGGGGTAGGAATAAGGTGGGGTAAAAAGGGGGAGGAGGAGAAAGGGGATTTGGTGTATGGAGGGGATCGGGGGGGGAAGTCTGCATGACTGTCGTCAGTCTACATCAGTTTATGTTGGGTGACTATGTAGAAGTTTCACTAAGTCAGGTTTCGTTGTCATCAGAATCCAGTGTGACCAGATTGCTAAGTTTGTTTGCTGTTGCAGACCCGCCACGTTCATAGTGAGTTCCGCGACCGCCCGCAGCTCTTCCATCTGAGTGAACCACTTTTGGAGGGGTGGTGTCTCAGGTTTCCTCCAATATTGTGGGACTATCTGTTTAGCTATGTTGAGGATTCTAATTGTGATGGATTTTTTATACTTGGACGTGGGGGTCTTGGTATGGTGTAACAACATTGCTGCAGGGTCAGTGGGGGTGGGTCATCAGAGAACCGTGTCAGTATGTTGTGTATCCCCTTCCAGTAGTGTCGGATGTGCTCGCACTCCCACCATATGTGTAGTAGCGTGCCTATCTCCTTGTTGAACCTTCAGCAGTGGCGTGACCCATCCAGGTGTATGTTGTGGATTGTGTCAGGCATGCGGTACCAATGAGTGAGTAGTTTGTATGCTGTCTCCTGGCTTTTACTAAAGACTGAGCAGTAATGTGAGGTAGCAGATTTTCTCCCAGACCGCTTCACTGAATGTATGGGAGAGACACTCCTCCCATTTCTCAATGAACCTAGTTGTTGCTATTGGTGTTTGTAACATGGAGTACAATAGAGATACACCGTGTGGCAGTGGGTTGGGGTCTATGCATATTTGTTCAAATGGAGTGAGCTCCCGGCTCAGGGCTTGGCCCTGTTGGAGAGTCTTTATGAAGCTCCGTAACTGCTCGTATCTAAATCTGGTCTGGAAGGTTTGGCCTGTCTCACCGTAGATGTCCGTCAGTTCCCTCAACCCCCGTGTGGAGCAGACATGTCTTCGTCTGGGTAGTGGGTCCCTAACTAAAGTCCTGAGTGTCTTGGGATCCAACCCATTTAGGAAGTCTGAGTTATGAGTGAGAGGGAGCAATGATGATGGGTATGTTGTCAGAGAGTGCCTCCCCGAACTTCTACGCCATACCTGTAGAGTAGCCTTCGTGTATGTGGAGTAGCCCTGTTCCCCTTCTCCCTTCCGCATAGAAAGCCATGGGAGGAGAGCGGCAGGTTTGTCCGCCTCTGCCTCCTGTGCCTGCTTCCAATGTTTGATAACCTTCAGCTTCTCTATCTATAATTTAACATTAATGCTCTGGAGTGTCTTTTCTCTTCTTTTGTTATTCTTTGCCTTTGTGATCTTAGTTATCCATCATTTTCTTTACAAAGTCCCATGTTCACCAACATCTGTTGTGCTTGGGAAGGATCTTTAAACACCAAAGAAGAGTTGTCATATTGGATGATCAAAGATACTGGAAATCTCCATCTGTAGACAATGTGGTTTTCTCTCAGTATTTTTGTAGAGTCTTTGAAATGTCTTCTTGCTTGTGTAGTTGCATATGGTATATCAGCAAATATTTTCAGTTCTTTATATAATTCCAGCTTAGAAAGTTCCTTTCTTGCAGCTTGTATAATTAGATTTTTAATATAATAAGATGACAATCGTATTATCACTTCTCTTGGTACATGCTCAGCAACACCTTTAGGTTTTGTCAGTCGATGGTAACGTTCAAATGTAAATTGACCCAAATTATGCGAGGGAATTGGAGAAAAACATAGATCAATCAAGAATTTTTCTAGTTTGTCTTTTGTATATTCCTCCACAATACCTCTGATTCTAATGTTTTTATGACGAGTTCTGTCTTCAATATTCATATTATTTACTTTGAGATGTTTAAGTCTGTTTTCTATATTTTCATGTTTAATTTATAGTAACTTATAATTTTCTTTTTTAATTGTCTCTGTCTTTAATTGTCTCTGTATGGAGCGATATAGAATGCAGGATTTGGGAAGATTCTTCTTTAAAAGAATCCATGAGTTTCGTCATATTTTGTTTGATTTTCCTGTGTAGGTTTTTAATCAGTTCCATCACACATTCCTTGGTTAGAGGTTGATGTTGTTCAAGTTGATCTTGTTGTTGTTCAATATTAATGGGGTTTGATTGGTTCAATTCTAGGTTTCCAAGCGAACTTCTAGATTCCATTTGCTTTCCTGTGTTCTTATGTATTTATATATTTATTTTTATCTGAATGTTGTGTTTTTTCTCTTTTGGCTGAGAGAGAGAGATCTGATGTTATATCAGTGATGGCGAACCTATGGCACGCGTGCCACAGGTGGCACGCTGAGCCCCCTCTGTGGGTACGCGGCCACAGGTCGCCGAAGGGAGGGAGGGTGCGCTCCGCCGGCGCATCGATAAGGCGTCACAAGTGGTCGCCTTAGGGTGCACCTGCCCGGCGGGCGCAAAATCGGAGTGACCAGCAGGAGGTGAGCGCATAGCGCTCCCTCCTGCCAGGCACTCTGTCTAGCGTGGCCGAGCGCGCCGCGGTACAGGAACTTATGTTTCCTGTACCTGGGCGGACGGAAATAAAGTGCTCACAGAGAGAGCACTTCCTGTCCGGCCGGGTACAGGAAACTGAGCTCCGCAGTGCGCTCGGCCACGCTACAAGGTAGGAGATCAAGGACAAGTGGGGGGGGGATGAAAACTAAGGGAGGGATGGGGGTAGAAAGAAAATTGAAGGGGGAATAAAACTGAGGGAGAGATGGGAGGGAGGAAGAAAACTGAGGGAGAGATGGGGGGAAACTGAGGGAGGTATGGGGGGAGAAAACTGAGTGTGGGATGGGGGAAAGAAAACTGAGGGAGGGATGGGGGAAAAAACTGAGGGAGGGATGGGGGGAAAGAAAACAGTGTGGGGGGGAGGAAGGGACGACATACACACAGCACCCCTGCCCTACACATATCACCCCACACAAACACACACACATCACCCCACACCAACACACACACATCACCCCACACAAACACACACATCCCCCCCCACACACACACACACCCCACACACACCACCCACACACACACCACCCCCAAACACATCACCCCCCCACACACACACACACATCACCTTACACACAAACACATCACCCCACACACAAACACATACACTGTACCCCTCAATGCAGTGTGTGTACACTCAGCAGTCTGTCTGTGTGTGTACACTCAGCAGTCTGTGTGTGTGTGTACTCAGCAGTCTCTGTGTGTGTGTATTTAGCATTCTGTGTGTGTACTCAGCAGTTTGTGTGTGTACTCAGCAGTATGTGTGTGTGTGTACTCAGCAGTCTGTGTGTGTGTACTCAGCAATCTGTGTGTGTGTGTACTCAGCAGTCTGTGTGTGTGTGTATTTAGCAGTCTGTGTGTGTACTCAGCAGTCTGTGTGTGTGTGTGTATTTAGGAGTCTGTGTGTGTGTGTGTGTGTGTACTCAGCAGTCTGTGTGTATGTATTTAGCAATCTGTGTGTGTGTGTGTGTACTCAGCAGTCTGTGTGTGTGTGTATTTAGCAATCTGTGTGTGTGTGTGTACTCGGCAGTCTGTGTGTGTGTGTGTGTATTTAGCAGTCTGTGTGTGTATTCAGCAGACTGTGTACTCAGCAGTCTGTGTGTGTATTCAGCAGTCTGCTAAATACAGACAGACTGCTAAGTACACAGACAGACTGCTAAATACACATACAGACAGACTGCTTAATACACATACAGACAGACTGCCGAGCACACACACAAACTGCTTAATACACACACAGAGATGTTAATTAGTTCGGACAACTGTATGAGTTGTTTTTTCTAAACTTAAACCTCAATATTCAGGTTTAATTGCCGTTTTGGCACTCTGAGGGGAAAAAAATTGGCACGTATTACGGTTTGGGCACTCGGGCTCAAAAAGGTTCTCCATCACTGCCCTATAGGCACACAATGCACCACCTACACACACTACATTAATGACATACACACTCTGGATCCCCTATGAACACACTAGAGCCCCTGTAAGCAAACACACACTACTTTCCCTAAACACACACGTTACAACTCCTACACACACTACATCATCTATACACACATACACTACAGCCACTATGTACAATATGCATTCCTTACACTTTTGTCCTCTGGTATCCCACTTATGGAGACACTGAGGGGGTGTGCTTGTCATTGGTGATGACAAAACACACACCCCACCCCCCCCTCCTCTCTGGCCCACCCCCTCCTCCGCTGTGATTCAAAAATGCCCGGGCCGATTCTTTTTTCCCCAGTCCGGCCCTGCTTGTTGGTTTAAAAAAATAATTGTTAAGTGATGCATGTCCCTTTAATATTTAACTTTAGGTTAAATGATTTGTATAGGAAGCTTGTAGTAATATATATTAGTATTTTACCTGCCAGATCACAAGCGATTCTCATGATGCACAGTCTGGCAAGAGGAGATTTAAATCCTGGACCACAGATGCTGTCTACATGTCCAATGTCCACAAAATCGCTGTGGCCACCACCAGTCGGGACATACACTTTTTTGATGTCTCCACTATGAACATATTTGAAGAGTTTCATTTATATGGTACGGGAGCTTTCAGAGATTCTCTTTCAGACTTAGAGGAAGAATTTTAAAAGTCTTTACAAAACAAAAAGAAAGTCTAGGCACTAAAAAAAAAGCAATCACCCCCCCAAAAATAAATATATTATTCCTATTGATCCCAACTGTCACGCTCTGCACTTTTTAATATCATGTTTTGTTTTTATTTCTCCTTCTCATTTGCATTGTGTGCCTTGGTTGTGCCTCGATTTAAATTGTGAGGATGTTATTTGATACATTGTTTTTATGAAACAGAAACAAAAATTGAGCATCACGTGAAAACAAGACACAAGTAATGGGTGAATGTCAATGTTTTATATAATGATATAATTTAATATAAAAGTGACTGGACTCCTTGACACCTTTTCATGTGTGTTTATTTTTACAATAAAGATGTAAAGATGTTAATTGCTTATTTTAATTATTGTTCTTTACAGGTTTAAGTGATGTTCCAACCTGCTTTGGCTATTGGTATAATGTAAAGGTATTGTATGAACACTGAGCACCTTTAGGGCATTTTCAAACTGTACTCATACCCTACAGCTCTCGTCCAAGTGACTGCCAATCTTTGATAAATACTAGGCTTTTCATCCTAACGCATGATAGAGCATCTGTGCCGCAGTGTTTTCTGGGAAATATTCAAAAACACAAATATCTGTATCTTTCTACTAAGAGGAGACAGAATGGTGGTGCTAGTGTTGCAAGTGGCTAACTTTGTGCAGCCAGCTTGATTCTGTTGTCAGGATATGATGCCTCCTCGGGTCATATGTGCTTGGAGTCTCTCTTTAACAAGACAGAGAGACACAGATAGTGTTTGCTTAACCAAGAAATGTGTCTGAAAATTGAATTGAAATCTGGAAAGGTAGCTAAATATATTTTTTTCAGAGGAATAATGTGTTTGCATTTTTTGTTTTGTAATGTCTGCATAATTCCCAGTATAGTGAATATACTCCACTATGTTTACTATTTGTTTTATAACATAAGGTCGATCCCCTGTACAATTTTGGAAGTATCACGGAATGCATGTAGTTTGTATCAGACATAGAACACCCAATTTTTTTTTTTTTTACTATGTCTAATCTAGATTCTGAACCCCCACCCTTCGTAGTGTAAAGCTAAACTATTGGTGCTCATGGTGGGCTTACCAACGTGTATTTTTCTGTAGTCTCCTGGAGAATGCTCACTCCTTCTTTGGGGAGACGACAGCGGAGGAATTAATCTACTACGGTTTCTGAAACCAAACTCTGGCGTGTTTGAGAGAACCTTTACCCAGCAGCCGGGTCCCCACAAAATCTATATGCAGGTAATTAAATGCAGGTTCAAGTAATATATCTCTCTCTTTCTCTCTCTCTCTATATATATATATATTTACTGTAAGATCGTTTAAACCTATTAAGGAGTAGGGGTGTACACAAATTAGTGCAGAAAGTAATTGCACTCAAGGACTCGAACTCATTTTGTTTTTAACCAGAGAAGGCTGGCTGAGAGTGATGGGAATTTCAACATTATAGCATTAGGAATACAAAACTGTATTGCTAATGCTACAGTGTCCAGCTACCTATAACTATAGGTCTGCCCCCCCCAGGTCAATATAGTATTAATAACCCTTTTCTCACTTACCTGTTTGCAGAGGTAAGTCTCCTCCTCCTGGTCACGGTGATAAGGGAACATAAAGTGCATGTGCACTGCACAGAGCGTTATGATATCCAACATTGTTTTACAGAGTTAAACTCCATGAAAGGCCAGGAATTGTCTGGCTACTGTGCTGTGAGGCAGCAGTCCACAAGCCTCTCTGTACCAGTGTCCCCCTTGCCAGCCTTTCCTAATTGTGATAATGCATGCCAATACAATGTCATCTTAAAGTGTCACTCCAAGGACCACGACTACGTCAATGATTAGAAGTGCTCATGGAGCCTGAAATCTGTTTGTACAGAATTACACTATGAAAGAATGCATGTACAGAGATTAAACCCTTAGCAGCCTTAGCTTCATTAGCCAGCCCAGAAATTGGTTCTGGCTAGTGATGTCCCGAATGGTTCGCCGAACGGTTCGCGAACGGTTCGCCACGGACTCATCATTGAGTAAACTTTGACCCTGTACCTCACAGTCAGCAGACACATTCCAGCCAATCAGCAGCAGACCCTCCCTCCCAGATCCTCCCACCTCCTGGACAGCATCCATTTTGAAGCCGCATTCTTAGTGAGCTGTCTAGGAGGTGGGAGGGTCTGGGAGGCAGGGTCTGCTGCTGATTGGCTGGAATGTGTCTGCTGACTGTGAGGTACAGGGTCAAAGTTTACTCAATGATGAGTCCGTGGCGAACCGTTCGTGGCGAACCATTCGGGACATCACTAGTTCTGGATAATGTCAGTTATGTGCAAAGTTGGCAACTGACGCCAGTGCACATGTCCCTTCTGTGCTCCCTGACCTCCCTCCCCCTCCAGCAAAGAATAACATCCATGAAGGCTTACCAAGCTCAGGGAGAATTGGCCTCAGTGCTGGATAATTTTTTAAAAAGTAAACCTTTTTGGGGGGCGCAAGGGGAATTTTTTTTTTTTTTATCAAGAGATTTTGGATTGAGCATTAAAGCATTGTTTTGTTGTGTTGTTTTAAAACTTAGGACTTAAAAGATCACAGTAGCCTTCTTAACTACCAAGCCATTCCCAATGTGCACCCAGAAGCCATCACCAAACTCCAATATATCCCGGAACAGGAACTCCTCATCACATCGGCAGGCAGTTCTACCTCCTCCATAGTCATCATGGACATCCACCAGAAAGGAAAGGTCTACACCTGGAACATTAGCAAGGTTTGCTGTGGCCACCTGAAGGTTTATTTAATAAAGAGCGAAAGCTAGAGTCTGTTTACAACCAGTATGTATTCCAAAATAGTTAAGAAGGAAAATATCTCCTACCTGAGTAGTTAAAGATGTGTGGGGGGCAGCTAAATTTTGCAGGATGGTTATAAACTCACATGACTCACATTGTTTAGTAAACAAACCCTGGCTTATTAAATAGCAATAATCTGATAAGCACATATTAAACGGTTATTCAGAGCTATCCATCTTTTGATTAGGGTGTCCGATGCTTCGACTATTCCAAGACAATGAACTTGCTCGTTACCGGGGGCCTAGATCACAAGGTTAGACTATGGAATAAGTATGTCCCAAGTCGACCGATTGCAGTACTACCAGAGCACACCATGGCAATTCTGGATGTGGCCATTTATGAACCCCTGAGACAGATATTCAGCTACTCCAAAGACTCGGTACGTGGTTTTCTTACCAATTTTTCAGTAAGGCCTCATAACAAATGGGCTATCTACAAAGAAGTGAATGTGATCTGACAGTGATGTGGCTATACAGCAAACGTGCAGGCTAGTCAATAAAGTGAGAATTCGAAGTTAATTTTAAATTTAAGGTCAAAGTACCCAGTTATGCTTTCAGCTTAGCTACTCTTAGAAATCAGAAATGCCAGGGATTGACCAGTGAATTTTAAATTCCTGATATTCCTGATAATTCAGGGCTTAGTAAACAGCACTAGTTGATTCTCACAGCTAACAGATGATAAACATTTTAAGTTTTTATTTTTTTCTCCACTGGAACAAATATTAATAATTCCCAGCTCCTAGGGCACATGGTGGCCAGTTTGAGAATTTTTTCTGCAATGCACAATGTTTACAATATAAGCTTTAGGGTTTCTCTTTTCTGACACTTGGGCAAACTGTAATCCTGCCATTTACTGGGGAAACTCTGCATTCTACCATTCTATCAGGCATCCTTGGATGTATCCATTTCTTCTTAGTAGAATTCTTGCTTGCAGGTTCTCAAGGTATGGGATATCTTCTCGCACAGCTGCCTGCAAACTCTGGTGTTAAAGTTTCCATGTGTACAACCTGGCCGGATTCATGAGCAGGGCAACTTTCCTTTCCTGCTGGTTCCAAAGACTCCTCCCCAGCTGCTGGTATCATACTCCGATTACATTGGGATGCTGAGGCTGGCCCAAGCAGACCCTAAAGAGGACACTTTAGTGACCCACGATGCTCCTCTTTCTTCAGTGCTGTACAACAGCTTTTTCCATCAGGTAAGTGTGTTCTGATTAAGGTTGTCAGATTCTCCATACTTTCCTTGCCACTTACCCCTTCTTCATGCTGATGGACAATTTATGAAAGGTTCTACCCAATAATATGTAGCATTCATATGTTATAGGAAGGAAATTAATTCACCAGTCATGAATCCCGCCTTGATTTCTGCATTGATTTAATTCCTGCTCTATATAAATTCTACATGCTGCATAGGGCTGCAGTTTACATGCACACCCACATTTCTCTGGAACAGCATTTCCCAATTTGTGTTCCGTGGAACCCTAGGGTTCTGTGAGAACAAAATTGGGGTTACGCCGTGAATTGCCACATCCAAGATGGCTGGAAGGTCAGAAACAGCAGAGATCGTGCGAACGCGATTTTAGATCGCAAGACTGCCGTTATGCATGCCATCTTTCATCCCACCCTCCATCAGCCCGTCCTCCATCCACCCGCCCTCCATCATCCCGCCCTCCGTCAGCCCACCTTCCATCAGCCCACCTTCCGTCAGCCCACCTTCCGTCAGCCCACCCTCCGTCAGCCATTTCATATCCACTCAGTGATAGTGAGTGGAAGCATTCAGTCAGACGCTCAGCTCACAATATTGGCCACAGGAGAAAGGATTTCTTTTCACACTCTTTATTTTTGTCAGTGCAGTGTTATTCATACAAGCTGGTTTAAACATAACAGTAAGAATATGAGTGACAGAGACAATCAGTAGTAGATGTCAGAAATACTGCACTTTTTTTTCTGTAAAAGAAAGTAAATCAGGCAAATATAACACTTACAATAGTATGGCATGGAAAGTGAAAGGATTTCTATTACTGCCTTTATGGATAACTGCCCTTTAGAGTAGCCCCTTGTGGCATATGGGGATAGGGTTATTTATTTTATTTTTGCAGAGATTGTGCTAAACGTTTGCAGCTGAAAACAAGTTACTGGGTTGGGCTTCTCATATTTTTGTTGGTTAAACTTATTAACATATACTTTTTTTCTGCTTACTATCTGTAGAAATCAGTGATTTACCAAAAAAAAAAGAATTTATTTCTAAGAGCTGTTAAAACAGCACACTTTGCAGTCTGGTAGTGAAATCTGTACCAAAGTGTTTTTTACACTCCAAGACTGACTCAAAATCCTGCTCATGGTTCTAAGTGCTTTATAAAACATCCTTTTCAGTCAGGTAGAGATCTGTTTTCAAGTGTGCTAATCCTTCTGCTCCGAGACTGACTCAAAATCCTGCTCACATTAAGTTCTTTGTAAGAGCTTTATAAGAAACAGCATCCATTGCAGCCAGGTAGTGAAATCTGAATTTATTTGAGGTTAGAGAAGTGTTTTGTTGATTTTACCAACCAACAACCATGAATTTGGACATTTGGTTAAAACAAGGAACTACCAAGAGAAAAATTACTACTTTTAACTGTTCGTCACTTATAGAAACTGAGAAAAATAATACAAAAAGAAATTAAGAAAACAGGTGCCAAATAGTTGAATCTACTGTTCCTCAAATAGCAGAGACAAGTGACAAGTCAAAGCTAAAAAGAAAAGCACACAATGCTACTCAATCTTCTTCTCAAACAAAGAAAATATAATGACAGCTACTTATCATTTGCATTCACAAGTGCCACAAATAAAAGTTTTCCTTAAGCACAATGCTTACTTTGCAAGAAAATATTGCCAAACTGTTCGTTAGCACCTGCTTAATTACGTCGTCATTTTGAGCAAAACCACGCACAGTACAAAGATAAAGACATTGCTCATAAGACTAAACAGTTTATGAGAAAAATATTTACAAATGATAATATAAAAGCTACTTATTAAAAAGTTTGCATGACTGCGCAACATTTTTTTCGGGCTCTCCACGATGTTGGTATACTGTGTCAAAGGGTTCCACGGGAAAAATGAATTTAGGTACCCCTGCTCTGGAAATAATCAGGAAAAATCTCTCGTCTGAATCCTTTCCAGCCCTCCCCTTCTAACCCCACCCAGACTTTCTGTGGCTGTCCAATCACAGACTTCTAAATGCAGCTCAATGAGAAGTCTTTGCAAGGCAGGTGCTCTGAGCAATTGCTGCCTCTTGAGCTGAGCTACACTGAGCTAAACAAACCAGGAAGTAACAGGATTGGTTGTCTGACTGACCGCCAGGGGGGTGTAACAAGCTTACTTTATAAAAGTGCCAATTTCTATTAAAATCGTCTTCTTTTTTTTTTTTTATGAAAAAGAGGACATACTCTTCACACATGAAGGACTTTAGCAAACTGTAATGCTTTCGGTGACTGTGGCCACCTTAGTTTTGAGATCGACATAAATGATGCTTTCCTGTGCCATAAACTATCCTGATGAAATTGGAAAAGTTGGCACCAATGGAACTCATCATAAATTCAACAATGTTTTAGCTCAAAATAAAAGCTTGTTTATAAATCTCCAAGTACTAGCGTACAACTGAAGGCCACTGTGTATTAAAACAAGTTATCACTTGCAACTCACCCATCTTGCAACCTAATTACCTATAGATCTACATAACCCCCAACATGATCTTTAATTAATTTAACTGGTCACACAGCTTATGATCCCAGCTAATATAACTTCCCACACATCATGCTTGATTACCTATGCTTTTATTTAAAGCTGTCTCACATATGTTGTACTGCACCTTCATATTGTACTGCTCTGCAGACTATGTTGGTGTTTCCAATCTGAATTATGACTTTATTCTGGGCATCCATGAATTAAATTGTTGCGCTTGTTAGTAGTTCCTCTGGCAGTGGGCAGGTTAATATAAGCTAACGAGACAGAATGGCAGCCGAGTGGCTCAATATTAAATGTTATCCACAATTTCCTGAACATTGCAAGTCAGCAATAAAAATGCGAAAATAAATGCACTTCTCTAGCACGGTACAGTGATTACTGCATCTCAGAGCAACTTCATCTGCAACTGGATAATAAACTGCCATCACAGAACCTCATAAAAATGGGGCAATTTAACAGCAATTTGGAGGTGGGAATTTGCATTCCATTTTAGCAAAGTCGGGAAAAATTAAAAAAAATACATTTAAAAAAAACCACACAGACATTTCTCACGGCTGATTGAACAAGCGAGCGAGTGTTTCATCCAGAAATCTACTTGACTTGATTTTTATGATCAAAGCTTGTTTAACCCTTAGCCTGCTAATCATATCTTATCATTATCTTGTTACGATTTAGTTCTACAAATCTCTTGGATGTTGGTGAGATATTTTGCAAGTAATGTAGTTCATTCTTTTAATTTTTTTTATTTAATAAATGTTTTTCTCTTAAATGGTATGATGCAACAAGAGCAGTTGTTCCAAATAAAACATTGCTTGACACTGTAGCAAGTCTACCGGAATTTTAACCTCCCACCCATTGTACTTTCATTATCTGCGGGAGGGAGGGAGGGAGCAGTAAAATATATTGACTTTGTGACATGTCTCGCTTGTGTACTCATGTATTTTCTCACTGTAGAAAATCTGTAAAAATGTACACATTGAAAAAATACATTGGCCCTGTTATTATGTGGTCTCCTCATCTAATGAATAAACAGATCCCACGTGCATAGCAGTACGGGTTACAAATGTATTTTGCAGCCAGGTCTCTCAGATCCAGAGGAACCAGAAGCTCTTGCTCCCATAATAACCACACTCTTCCATGGTGATCTAGGCAGAAAGTATAGCTGAAGACAACAGTATATATGATGTCATCTCCTTGCCCCTATAGAGCATACATTAGAGCAGTGGTTCCCAAACCAGTCCTCATGGCCCATCAACAGTCCAGGATTTATGTGATTCCCTGTTTTATTCCAATGGGGATATTAACAAAACCTGGACTGTTGGTGGGTCTTGAAGACTGGTTTGGGAAACGCTGCATTAGAGGCATCTGGAGTGGAGAGAACTTTGGTAGAATGCTCCATTTTTTTTTATACACGTGGTTAAAAAAATGTCAAAGTTATCCACTCAATTGGAAATTGTGAAGAATTCTCTGACTTACTATTTTCCAACTGTTCACCTTAAAATATGCAGATCTTTTTTGTACAGTCCTCACAATCTGTTACTTAAAGTTTATAAGGTCGATAGCTTCTATTTAATAAAGCCACTCTGACCTCTCTATTTAAACTTAATCTTGCTTAGTCAGAAAAGTGGGACACGTCCCTTAGCCCTTTATCTATTTCACATTTCACCTGCTTTTACTTGCTTCTCGGGGAAAATTTGGGAGTGCCACTGAAGTCAGTCCCGGGTTTTGGCATGTAATCATTGTGATCTGTGCCAATTAATTGTAAGGGATGCTGCCGGTTACTCAGCCCCAGGGCAAGCTGACATAAGGTATTAACTCTGAAATGTTTGCGTAAAGGATTCTGCTGTGA